AGGCCCGGGAGGGCCCCCAGAGGAGGAAGACAAACTGACAATTCGAGCCGTTCCCATCCAGATGGCCCCCCAAGGCCCCCCAGAGGCCTCCGAGGCGCCTCCAAGAGGCCCCAAGAGGCCTCCGAGAGGTACCCGAGAAGCCCCCTTAAGAGGCCCCCCAGAGGACCCTACGAGGGGCTCACAAGAGCCCCCCGAGAGCCCCCAGGCCCCCCGGATGCATCATTCCAAGAGACCCTCACAGTGCGCGGCCAATCTCTTAGTATTGCTGTTTGTTATGTCCTTGTGTTTCTCTCTCTCTCTCTCTCTCTCTCTCTCTATATATATATATATGTATGTATGTTCCTTTCTCTCTCTCTCTCTCTCTCTCTCTATATATATATATATATATATATATATATATCACTCTCCCGCGTTCCCTGTCTCTTTCTGATTCCCCCTCCCTCTCTGTCCCTCATCCTCCTCCTCCTTCTCGAACTTCTACCCGCCCCTCTGCGGAGGAGGGCCTTCCACGGAAGAGCGGACCGTTTGCACCGTTGTCTGAATCCGCCGACGTCCGCTTCCCAGGACTGCAGCGTCGCGCGAGATGAGTGGCCATCCCCTTGCCAAGCATATATTATCCCAGCATGGATGCACCTGTGGGAGCAACATTCAGGACCACGACTCGCCCTAGCACTCTCCGTGGGCTTCCTACCTCCTCTGGGGGTCGGCGGAAAGGCGAAAGTCTCCTGACACGACATCGAACCGGATCGATCGGATCGAAACAGGCCCTGGCGGGTGCTTGTAGACGATAATGATGTTTAGTCCGTTGGGCTTCACCGAGGCTATCCACTGGGAGGGTGGCAGGTGAAATTGTCTGCCGCGGCTGACATCTTAAAATCCTCACCGAAACTGTATACATTGGCCCTCAGCCAAGATCTTCACGTGAGCAAGTACCTGAAACTAATACAATGTTCGCCACGAATATCTATACATATGACTGCTGTATATTACTCTTCAAAACGACGCTCTGACCCAACATCCTCCCTGTTCAGACGTCCTGTCATATGAGTTGTTCACAGAGACGGAATCATCCCACCAGCCCTCTGGGCGCAGATGGTCTTGAGCGGTTCCTTTCCCAGCCTCCTTCCTTTCCCTGCTGGGGAGGCCCCCTCCCTGGGTCTGGACGGGCTCCCACGCTAGGGGTTAGAGTGTCCAACATGGCCCAAGATAGCTTGAAAAGGGCTTTAGCTAGCCCAAGATGGCCTCCAAGATCGCCCAAGATACCTAAAGACGGCTCAAGATAGCCTCCAACACGCACCCAACAGGCCTCAAGACGGCCCCCAGACGGTTTCAAGTGCCCTCCGAGCCCTCCAAGGACCCCCCCAAGAGGCCAAAACGGGTTCAAGGCCAAAGGAACATCAATGTGTGTTGCCTTTTTGCTTTTTCGCTTCCGATGGACACTTGAGGCGTCACGATGGCCCCAAGATGGCCCAACATAGCCCCAAGAGAGGCCCGAGAGGGCCCCAAGACGGCCCCGAGAGCGCCCAAGAGAGCCCCAAGAGCGGTCCAAAGCGGCCCCAAGACGCCCCTTTGTGGACCCCCGAGGGGGGTGCGTAAGTTGTGAGCCCCCCTATTTTTGAGCGAAGGGGTCCAAGACGGCCCCAAGAGGCCTTCCAGACCCCCCCAATACAGTCCCAAGAGCGCTCGAAGACCAATCAAAAAAGCCTCAAGAAGGTCCGAAGAAGGCCCCCAGAGGACCCCAAGAGGACCCCAAGATGGCGCCCAAATGGCATTATGAGTCTTTGGAGAACCCCTCACCACGACATATGCCCTAAGCCCGACTTCTCGTCCTCTTGTCATCGTCCGTTCCTTCCTTGCTTCTTTCCTGAAGCCTCCCTGCTCCTCTTCATCCTCCGCGCGCCGCGTTCCTCCTGCTCCTTCTCCTGCTCCCCTTCCTCCGTTTCAGTTCCTCCTCCTCCCTCTCCTCCTCCTCCTCCTACTCCTCCTCCTCCTCATCCTCCTCCTCCTCCTCCTCCTCCTCCTCCTCCTCCTCCTCCTCCTACTCCTCCTCTTACCCCCAAGATGGCCCCAGGCATCACCAGCACCAGCAGCACCGCTTGCTCCAAGATGATCCCAAGAGGGCAACAGATCACCACAAGCAGCAACACCAGCAGCATCACCACCACTGCCACCACCCCACAACCACCACCACCACCACCACCACCACCAGCACCAGCAGCCGCACGCGAGTTTAATATAAACTTCGGTGCGGGGGCAAAGGTCAAGGATGCACATGAGGATGCGACTCTCAACTGTGCGACAAGGGCAACGAATGATAGATACAGTCACCTGCGCCAGAGACGCTTACCACATGGAACACCCCCTGCGTATCTTGCACTGGTTTCCATCTTAAGCTTCGCTGCGGGACTCTGTGTGATCCTTGTCTCTCATGGTCCAGGGTGGATACAACCACCTGCGCTAGAGACGTTTAACACAGGGAGCACCACGTCGTATCGTTCACTGACTTCCATCTAAACTTCAATGCGGGAAGCTGTTTGTGAGTCTTGTGTTTCTGAAAACGGGCGCGCAACTGCATGCTTCCAGGCGTCCCTGATTTACCAATTCCCCTGCTGATCGTTTCTCGATGGGCTGATGGGGATACTTTTTTGTCGCAACCGCAGGCGAAGGCGCCAGCTGCGAGTCGAGTCGGCTCGGGCTGCGAGCGGAACTAATTGCCGGCGCGCGCGGAGCAAAGCAGGACCTACCACCGGGGAAAGCGGCTGCGCCGAAGCTGTGCAGCAGCGCCGGGGGTGGGGACTGCAAGCTGCTGGGGCTGCGATGATGGGGATACGTTTTTTAGTCAGCGGCCGCAGGCGAGCGCGCCAGCGGCGAGTCCAGTCAGAGCGGGGCGCGCACAAACGAATTAACCTAAAGCGGTGGGCCGAAGCCTCACGCGGCACCTCGGCGGGCGGGCCGGCGAGTGGAGGGGGGCGGGCGGCGGCTGCCAGGCTGCACTGCCAGGGGTGCACGCATGCAACGAGCTGCAAGGGGGGGCTGACTGCCAGGGTGGCCGACTGCCAGGGTCTGGAAGCTGCGAGTGAGTTGTGAGTTGTATGCCGGGGCGTTACCACCCACGGGACTGCAAGAGTACCAGCTGATGGGGATACGCGAATCATCAAGGATAAAGCTGAGATACAAAATCCTGTAGCCGATCCCCAACTCGAACACTGTGTCCACACTGCCCAGAACTGGCCAGGCACGCCAGGGCTCCGCGCGGCGGCGCCTCTCTGGGTGAAGAGGGCGGCGCGGGCCAGGGGCACAGAGAGAGGCCAGCTGGCGTCGGCGGTGGACAAGCCTCCCTTTAGTAAACCACCCTTTAGTGAGAACGGCCCAAGACCGAAACCGACGGACCTGAACCCGCACATATGACGGCCTTAACGCCCTCTCGCGAACCGAGGACGGACAATTCATTAATCGACGCGTCAGGATAGGTCTATCGACCTCCGCCAGCGCCGCAGCGCTGTGCAGGCGGCTGGCAGTGCGGTGGCCAGGGCCGCCGGACCAGGCCGACGCGGAGCAGTCCAAGGCTAGGGCTGCCTATGTTTCACCCCTCCCCCTCCCTTATCCTCCTCCTTCCTCCTCCTCCCTCCTCCTCCTCCTCCTCCTCCTCCTCTCCTCCTCCTCCTCCTCCTCCTCCTCCTCCTCCTCCTCTTACTCATCCGCCTATTCCTCCTCCTCCTCCCTCCTCCCTTCCCCCGCCCCCCACTCCGCCCCCATCCACCCCCTGCCCCCCCTCCACTCGCCACCCCGCTCCCCTGGGGACGTCCGGAAAATATTCGGCCCCCCTCCGCGCACTGTTTTTTGCACGACTCCCGGGAAACGGGTTTTCGCATGGTTCTTATGTCGAGCCGCTGCCCTCGCTGAAGCCTGCAGCGCTGGCCCCCTTTGTCGGGCTACCGCTCGTTCCGAGTCGTGCTCCCGCGGAGGCGCTGGCCTCATTTCCGCGCTGGCGCTCGTTCCGCGTCGTGCTCCCGCTGCAGCGCTGGCGTCATTATTTCCAGCGCCATGCCGCTGCATGGTGTTCGGTCCTTCCAAATAGGCCCAACCATCTAGAAAATGACCCCCCGAAACAACCATCGGAAGTGATAACACATTCGGTGTCGATTCGTTGCCTTTTGGGTCGCAGAAGGCCCCCCCCACTTTGGGGCGTCGCCACGCCATGCCATGTCAGGCTACGGGTCCTCCGAGTTGTGCTCCCGCTGCAGCGCTGGCCTCATTTCCGCGCTTGCACTCGTTCCGCGTCGTGCTCCCGCTGCAGCGCTGGCGTCATTATTTCCAGCGCCATGCCACTGCATGGTGTTCGGTCCTTCCAAATAGGCCCCAAAATCTAGAAAATGACCCCCCGAAACAACCATCGGAAGTGATAACACATTCGGTGTCGATTCGTTGCCTTTTGGGTCGCAGAAACCCCCCCACTTTGGGGCGCCGCCACGCCGTGATGTGTCAGGCTACGCGTTGAACTTCAACACCATGGTATGCCATGTAATGCTACGCCATGCTACAACATCCGACTGCGCGAATAGAGAGGAGATCTACGCCATGGTATGGGATGGGATGGAGGGGTAGGACGTCAGATATGACGCGAGCGCACCTAGCTTGCCCCCCCCCCCTACCCTTCCCCCCCTCCCCCACGCCCCCTCTCCCCCTTCCCCCATCTTGCGTTTCGCCACAGGGCCCGCTTGCACTGACAAGAACGCGAGTCTGCCACTTAACACGAAGTCGCGGCTTCGAGCCGCTCACTACGCCCTACCCTGAAAGCGCCGCTCTGCCCCTCAATGCAACCCCTGCCAGACCCCGCCCTCCTGATCTGCCCCTCCTGCCACCGTGCACGGCTTCACATCGCACCCAGCGCGTTCGTGGCCTACAGGCAGAACGCCGCGCCCGCAGACGATCGCACCCCCGTCCTGGTCGGCTCTGCGAGGTCTCCACCGGCATAACCCGCCGACGGCGCGGGACGCGACTCACGAGGCACGCCCCCACTCGCCACCATCAGCTGTGCCATGGCCTTCATGTGATTTTTCTGCAGCCGGCGCCGCTGGCACTTCGTCCTCCGCTGGAAGGCCGGAGCATCCCCCGAGCTGGTGTCAGGGGCTGCCGAGAGGGAGGGGGGGGGCTGGATGTAGGTCGGGCATGTCCCCCCAAAGGCGGATTTTGGACGAAAAACAAAAACTATTCAAACACTTTGGAAAAAGATCGAAAAATTGCCTAACAATCGTCCCCAGAATCTTTGGTTCCCATGTTTGCACATTCCCCGTGCAGAGGGACGTGCCCGACTTAAGCGTGGCTCGGGGGGGAACAGTGACGTGGCACCGCCGGCGGATCGGCGGTGGGCCCCGGTGGGGTGCAGACCCCGTGCTCCTTCCTGGACAAGCTGGGGCCCCGATCGTCGACGGATGGGCCGCGGTGGTGGGAGGACGAGATGCGGAGCAGGAGGAGGAGGAGGAGGAGGAGGAGGAGGAGGAGGAGGAGGAGGAGGGAGGAGGAGGAGGAGGAGGAGGAGAAGGAGGAGGAGGAGGAGGAGGAGGAGGAGGAGGAGGGAGGAGGAGGAGGAGGAGGAGGAGGAGCGAGGAGGAGGAGGAGGGAGGAGGAGGGAGGAGCGAGGAGGAGGAGGAGGAGGAGCGAGGAGGAGGAGGAGGAGGAGGAGGAGGGAGGAGGAGGGAGGAGGAGGGAGGAGGAGGAGGAGGAGGGAGGAGGAGGAGGCGGAGGAGGAGGAGGAGGACGAGGAGGAGGAGGAGGGGGAGGAGGCGCGGACAGCCTGGCGGAACCGCGGGTCGGGAGCGCAATACAGATAGGAGGCGAAAACGAAGCTCGCCGCCCTGCGCGGTCGTCGCTCCCGCGCGGCTCACAGCAACACACGCACCGTCAGACATTGGAGGGGGGCCTGCCCAATGTTTTTCGCCCCTCGGCACGGCTCTTCAGAGGCCGCGCGCCTGGGGACAAGACAAGGCCCCCCCTAAAAAAAACTCACATCGGGTCAAGAACCTTGCCCGTCTCTGGACGGAGCCCACGACCGGCATATTTGATTTCGGTGGTTTGTGAGCTACGGGATGACGGGTACTCTGAGCGTCGTTTGCACTTATCACCGAGGCCTCGCAGATTCCCGTTAGGGGAGGATAGCGAACGCAGAGCACAGGGTGCAAAATAGCACGCGGCCAGACTGCTCCATTTCATGGCCGAGGGCTCCGAAACGCTCTTGCAGCACACTCGAGGGCGGTGCCTGCCCATCCCCAATTTCGGGCCCCAGGACCCCCTCAGCGGCCCCAGTGGCCAGAGGCACCGCCCTCGAGGACATGGGAAACGTCTCCTCATCCCGATCGGCGAAACCAGCCGTCGCTTTCCAGCGCTGGAAGGTTGAGGGCCCACAAACACGCCCGCTTCCTGTCTGCAGCTTAAGCGAGGGAGGCAGGCGTCTCAGCATGCAAGTTGCACACTTGACATCGCCACTCACTGAGCGCGGGGAAATGGAACAACTCGTGCTCCGACAACGCCAAAGAGCCTTTACACTGCCAACTTGGGGTCGGGCGCGCGGGCGCGGCAGACGGGGCCGAGAGCTCCTGGGACAGCCCCGCGATCGCCTGCGAGATTCTCGCGAGACAATCGAAGGTGAGCTTACTGTCCTTGATATTCGCGGCCTGCCACTTCACAAATGTGTTCGGGACTGCGCGAGACTCCGAGCCGAGCCTAGCGAAGAAGTCGGCCCAGAGGTTCCCATGGAAATGCACAATCTCAGTCGGCGAGGCGGCACTGACGACATCGCCCCATTCACGGTAAGCAAGGGTCCACTCAAAAGTAGGGGTCGGGTCGCTGTCGCCGTGCAAGCCGGATACATTTCTCCACGCATTTGCGCGCTTCGCACCGCTCGCGGCCAAATCCTACTCCCACGAAGAGCCTTCACGCACGGCACTCAGGCGGTCGGAGACAACATGGGCGTCCCAGGGGCCAGCCCGAAGCGCTTGGTAGATCGCAAACCGCACGGCCCTGGGCACCGACTGTTGGCGCCCCGGGAGAGCGCCGAACACGGCCCGCAACGGGGGCCCACTAGGGCGACAGGAAATGGCCAGTCCAAACCGTCGGCGCACATGGTCTGCCCGCGTGGCGCTTCGGCTGCCCCCCACGAGCAGACAGGAGGCACGTCGGGGACGGGGCCGATGGGGGATGGGGGCCCGTAGAGGACCTCGAGGGCGCCCCAACACTGAGCCCCCTGTCAAAACTCCCCTGTTTCCCGCAGTCCAGACCTGAGCTCCAGGACGCCGCCAGGGAAAACTTGACATTGCGTCCCTGGGTATTTTCGCACTGGATCACAATTATAAATCTGGTGTCCGAGGGAGCCAACAACATTTTTATCGCAGAAGGTGCAGCCGCTGCTGTCAGCGTACCCAGCATCGAAGGTACGCTGGGGCGGCCACATCGCATGCCCGATCAAGCATCGGAGGGCGCCTCTCCTGGCAGCATCCTTAATATGAAGGACGCCTAGTCGCAAGGAGCGCAGCCAGAGCCTCTCTCCTCTTGAGGCCTCGGGGAGGTGCTTCAAAATGCATCTGGCTTGCCAACGCTGGATTCCGACCTGCAGCTCTAGCTCCAAGTTGCGGGGCGAACAACGCAGCTGGTCGAAGGCCGCGCCTTCGTCGGGAAGTAGATCGCGCGCTGCGGACACTGACCAGCCCACGCGCATAAGCGACAGGACAACAGCACTGATCGGGCCTCGGCACGAACTCCATGTAGGCCCGTCTGCTATTTCATCACGAACATGCACCCACGCACGCTGCAGTCGACCTAGCGAGACCCTCGCGTCCCAAATCATGCCCGCGAACCACTGTATCAGAGGCATCGTAACATCGAAAACAGTGTCAAAAAGGGGTCTGCCTGCGTGGGGCTAAATTGAGCCCGAGCGTCGGGCTCCGACTAAAGACCCCGCGAGCGTTCGGAGCGACTTCGACGAGGGGTCAGTGAGTCCACTTACGCTTGCGACACGGCCTGCTGCCGACATCAACCCAGTCCTCCAGGGCATCTGCACCTTCCCTGGAGCTCCGCGACCCAGTGCAACAAACCTAGGGCGCCTGCGGATTACTTTGTTCAGCCGAGCTCGCCCCTGGGCCCGCTGGGGCCGTCCAGCGAAAACCTCGCGGCCGAGATTGCGCACGCGGGTGAAGCTCCACAATTTGATCATACGAGCTGTCGAGGACACTCTCGACGAGGCCTTCGCAGCTGCGGCAACAAAACCGATCCTTAGGACTTGCAGGATCAGCCCCCGCAGTACCAACGCACCGCAGCAAAGAGAACATCGCACGCGCACAGTCGCTCACCTACCCACTGGAAGCTCGAGCCGTCCCTGAGGATTCGCGGCTGCGAAGTCAGGAATATACAAGTCATATTGCTGACCGCGCGGCGCAGCAGCAGATGCATCATCGAGTTGGCGCGGCCGCTTTCAGCTAGCATCCCCAGATGGGAAATCAGCGCGACACAGAGCCGAACGCCTGCACAAGACGAGGACACCGACACAACGAGAGGAGCATCCAAATCATGACCAATGGATACGCTAGCTCGCAAGCCTCCGTTAGTAGAAGCCCGGCAAAGATTATGCCCTCGTAGCATTTAAACATATCGAGAAGCACGCTCACAGGGCACCCCCCCCGCCGCCGTCGCCACCTCCGCCCCCGCGACATGGTCGCAAGCAGCGCCCGAAGAACTGGCACCTGGCCCGTGGCCCCAGAAAGCTGGGCGGCGGTGCGAACGCCCCCGCGACTGCGAGATTGGCTTTTCCAAGCCTGCCCCACAAGCGCAGCAACGAGTTCAACAGGGCAACGAAGCGGCGCCCGCCAATCGGCTTGCAGAGCCGAGTCAGGCGGGCCTGGATGCGATCTAGAGGCCACGAGCTCAACCTCTCACATGCCATGAAGAGAGACGCTAGGACCTCCAGTCCGACGACAGACACCTGGCACGGCGACTTCGGGTTGAGCGCGAGCTGGCCCAAAGCAGTTCTGGATGGGAAAGAAGCGGCCGCCGACCTCATGTCTCCAACGGTGATGGGCGGCAAGCTGCCCCACGAGCTCGCGCCACGTGGGAGCGGAACCGCCGGGCATTCATGCAGATCCCAGATCTTCTCCCAGTCGACCACGCAATCGTCTGCGCGTTCAACGGGTTGGGGCCTCGCGGTGTCTGCAGCAGTCTCCTGGAGCTCCTCGAGCCTGGGAAACCTATGGGCTGCGCCTGCACCGTTGACGAACGACTCCTCCGCCCAGGCACACCACTCCGCACTATATTGATCCAGGAGCTCGTGGATCTCGGCGCTCGCGACGTCGACCAGGGCCTGAACCACGCGATCGACAAGTTGCATTCGACGATGCTCGACGGCACGTCTGTCACGAAAGACCTGGCTTCAGCAGAGATTCGATCATGCACCCACTGGGTCCTGGACACTATGCGAGCGAAACCGTGGAGGAAAACAGCAGCTTGGGCATGGCCATGAGATTATCCTCGAAGTTGCCGTCGCTGAGGCTGGCCACCTGCGACGGCGGCTTGGTCCTGGCCGAACGCGCGCGGCGGAGCCAACGCGCCAGCGCCTGCCAGGCACTGAGGTCGGACGGCTTGTTGGGGCGCGGCTCACTGGCGTCCTTCCAGCCATGCCGAGGTGGGCCTGCGCTACCGAGAGAACGCTTGCGATCCGAACTCCCCATGACATCGCTACTGTCTAACACCTCGGCCTCCAGGCCCGCCACCACAGCAGAGCCCCAGCAGGCTGCAAAGTCTTCGGGCGAACTGGCGCCGTCGCGCATAGCTTGGATCATGCGCCATTCACGTACTGGAGGAAACCGACCGCAACCAACGTTGGGAGTAATCGGAAGTGCGCGGTGCCCGACTGGCACACTGCAGCACTGCCCCTCGGTTGGGTGGCCACCCACAGCTCGACTGGGCGCCGCGGGAATAAGCCCATCCCCAGGTGGACGTCGACGGAGCCTAGCGGCAGCACCAGGATCTCGGACACGCGGAAGAAATCCCTGGTCGCGCCTGGGACTGTCTGAATACACGCGGGCAGGTCGGAAGCGACCATAATGCCACGTACCGCATGGAACCAGTCGTCAAACTCATTACAGTTCGCGTTCAAGTCTCCTCCGATAACCCAATGCTCGTTTAGGGCATCGAGCTGGCGGGGGCACTTCGCCACGGCGTCGAGAATGCTGACGTTCGCGCCCTGCGCGCCGGCGCCAGCGACGAGGTAGGCGGACAGCGCCACGACGCCGCTGGGCCTGCCACAGCGCACCTCCGCCACAACATCCAGGGTTCACTTCGCGGGGAAGACCAGCAAGAGGAACAGAGACCAGCTCATTGCTTGTGCCCAGGATGGCCACTACGCCCGAAGTGCCTCCACGGTCTGTAGGTGCAGCAATAACCCATACTCCGTTGAAACCTCCGGGAGCAGCCTCGGCTTGGACCTCGGCCAACTTGTCAAAGAACGCGGTGCTCCTGAACCATTAAGATGGATTTGCCACATTGGTTGGTTCCGAGCAAATCAAGCAGCGGGCCGTAGGAGAACGCGTTCGCCGTGACCTCCACCACCTCAGACTGCGGGGCACATTCCGAATCATGCGAGCGTTATTGCCCCCCAGCGGGGAGCGTAGGACGCGCCAATCTCGCCGGCGGCATTCGCCCTGACCCCAGCGCCCCTACAGCAATCGATTCGCGAAGCACTTCGCGATCATAACGGCCAGAAGGCTGGGGCGAGCCGCCCGCTCCATCGGCGGCGGGCGCTGCAGGCATGAGCCCTGGTCCAGTCCGAGGGGGCGCGTAACCAGGCAACCCGGTGGCGAAGGCGCTCGCGGCGGCAGGCCTCAGCACCCCCGCCAGCCCCCATCTGACAAGAATAAAGAAAATGCCACTGCGCTCTGACCTGCCCCTGATCCATTGCCCGCGAGGTGCGGCCCGCCGAGGGGCCTGGCCATCACGAGCCGATCTCGCGGAAGCCCCAGTAGGCCCTGCACCGTGGACCGAGACAGCGCCCGTCGGACCTGCTGGACACGCCTGATGGACACCCCCCACGGAACGGTCGCGCGGCTGCGCCTGCTTCGGGGGGGGGGGGCCTCGGGGTGCTCAGAGAGCTGCCCCCCTGCCCCCCCTGGCCAACGCGCCGCCCCTCGCGGCGGCAGACGGACCCCGCCCGCGCGGCCCCACCAGCAGCGGCACGCTTTCCGCTCCTCGCGCCGACAGCAGCCCTGATACAAGGGCCCCGCGGCACTCGGAGGGCCCACGGGCCTCGCGACTGCCGCATTCACCGCCTCCACGCCAAGTGCCCGAACTGCAGCTGGCCGCGGAAGCGCGGGAAGCGAGATCTGGCGGGGAAGTCCTTCACATCTCCCTGCTGTCACCGGAGGCGCGGGAAGTGAAATATTGCGGGGCATTCCTTCACTGGGCCTTTGCGCTCCAAGCGCCAGCCGAAGACGCCCTCCGACATGCCGATGCCCCCAGCCCAGGGGAGACACGTCCCTGGCCACCCGGGGAAGTAGGCGCCGACACCCTCCGACCTGCCGTCGTTCCCAGCCCAGGGGAGACACATCCCTGGCAATCTGGGGAGGTAGCCGACGGCGCCACCCGACGCGCCGCTGCCCCCAGCCCGGGGGGGGCGCATCCCTGGCCATCTGGGGAAGTAGCTGCCGTCGCCCTCCGACCTGCCGCTGCCCCCAGCCCAAGGGAGACACATCCCTGGCCATCTGGGGAGGTAGCCGACGGCGCCACTGGACAGGCCCCTGTCCCCAGCCCAGGGGAAGCACATCCCTGGCCATCTGGGGAGGGAGTCGTCGCCGCCAGCCGACCTGACAGCCCCCCGCCCAGGGGAGTCACATCCCAGGCCATCTGGGGAAGTAGCAATCGTCGCCCTCCGACCTGCTGTTGCCCCCAGCCCAGGGGAGACACATTCCTGGCCGACTGGGGAGGTCGCCGACTGCGCCACTCGACTCGCAGCTGCCCCCAGCCCAGGGGAAGCACATCCCTGGCCATCTGGGATGGTAGACGTCGACGCCATCCGACTTGCCGCTGCCTCCAGCCCAGGAAGGACACACCACTGGCCATCTGGGGAGATACAAGGCGGCACTGAGGAGGAGGAGGAGGCCCAAACAACCCCGCCCCCTGGGGCCGAACCAGCACGCGTCGGAGCCGCCAGGGGCCACGTAGGCCCTCCTCCAGGGACGGGGGCGGCACGGCTATTGGTTGGTCTTCGCCTTCTTCTGGTTCGAGCCAAGCGAACCGCCCCGCCGCTTGATGGCGGCGCGGAGCTGGGTCTCGTCCGTCGCGGGGTCCCCGCCGAAGGCTTCGTGCCGGCATTGCTGAAGATCACGCAAAGCATCAGCGTCGCCAGGCTGTGGAAGGGGCTGCAGCAGCCTCGCGAGGCTCTGGAGGCTGCGGTTGGGGCTGCGGCGCTCCACCTGGGGCAGCTTCGCCAGAGGCGGCAGCGCTGCCCGCGGCACGCTCGGCGGCGGCACGCTCGGCGGCAGCCCGCTCCAGCCCGCGCAACTCCTCGAAATTGGCGGAGACGCTTTTGGCCAGGTTGCAGTCGGCACCAAGCCCAGCGAGGAGCTTGCCGACAGCATCGACGTCCATGTCGATGCACGGGATCGCGGCTCGGAACGAGTGGACTCCCTGCGCAGGCTGAGGCGCCTGCGCGGCCGCCATGGCCCTCGCAGCCTCGACCTCCAGGAGCTCCGTGGATGTCGTTGCCACTGCTTCCTCGACCTCCACGATCTGCTTCTGAACCTCCGCCAGCTTCTCTTTGAGCTTGTTGGCGGCGGCCTGTTAGCGCCTCTGCTTCTTCTCGAGCGTGGAGCACCGATTGGTGGGGAGGTGCAGCTTCGTCCCGATGGGTTTGTCGGCCAGCACCTTCGCTCGGAGCGTGGCCTGCTGCTCGGAGCGTGGCCTGCTTGGCCTTACCAGCACAGGGCCCGTAGGATTCCCGATGGCCTGGATCGCCGATGCAAGCTCGGCCAGCGCTGCCTGGGCGTCTGGTTTAGCCGCCTCGTCGATGTCCCATGGCGTCGGGCCCTTGCACCTGCTTGGCGGCCAGCAGCTCCTTGAGCTTGGCGAAGTCGCGCTTCTGTTCCTGGAGGGCGGCCTTGGGACGCTCGGCCTCTGCTGCTGCCTTGCGATCGTTGCCGGCCGAATGGGCGCTACCTGCGGGCTGCGCCCTCGGGCCGAAGAAGGCGAGGCCCTTGGGCTGCGCGCAGGGCCCGCACTCCTTCTTGTCTAATGGTTCCACCAACGCTCACCCGTCCTGGGGTTGGTGCACCACTTGCATAGCCACTGCTGCGCCTGCTGCAAGCGCTTCTGCTGGTGGCCATTGGCTGCCATGAATGCGGTCTTGCCGCGCACGTGGATAGCGGACTCGCCGCACTCGTCGTTGCACAAAATCGGCCCGCGCCCCCGCGCCGTTCCGAAGTACGTGGGCACACATTCGAGTTTCACTCGTTCTAGCCCGAGCCGAAACGGCTGAGGAGGAGGAGGAGGAGGAGGAGAAGGAGGAGGAGGAGGAGGAGAAGGAGGAGGAGGAGGAGGAGGGAGGAGGGGGAGAAAGAGGAGGAGAAGGACGAGGACAAGGAGGAGGAGGAGGAGGAGGAGGAGGAGGAGGAGGAGGGAGGAGGAGGAGGAGGAGGGAGGAGGAGGAGGGGGAGGAGGAGGAGGACGACGAGGAGGAGGAGCTGAGGAGGAGGAGGAGGAGGAGGAGGAGGAGGAGCTCCCTCAGGGCGCGCCCTGACCAGGACTTCGAGGCGAGACCGCCCCCGCGGCGACGAGGGCCCCTATAGGAGGAGCCGCGCCGTCGCTCTCCGCCTCCCCCCTCCTCCGAGATCGGGGTCCGACGCTGCGCCCTCCCGAGCCAGGGGCACCCACCTGTCGGCGCCCCTGATTCGAGCAGGGGATCGACTACAAACTAGGCTGACCCCAGACTTGATCTCCTCGTCGAAGCTGCGAACGAGGACTAGGATGCCCGCAGATTCGCGAGCATGCCACGCTTTTCTCATACAGTGGAGACCCGTCAACAAGAAACCTGCCACTAGAGACCCAACCCTGAGACCCCAGGACGTCCTTGAATCTTCGCGCGGGAACGTCGCGCTTTCCATAGCAAAACCATCGAGACCCAAGAAACCTACCTGCAGGGCACCCTGGAGGCAAGCAGGGTGCGTCTCAGCATGGGCCTCCGCTGCACCCCAAGCTCGATCTCCTCCTCGCATCTGCGAAGAAGAGGAGTAGAACGCTCGTAGATGTACGAGCACTCCACGCATTTCTCCTACATAGACTTCGGTCGGGCATGTCCCCCAACAGACGTACGTTGGACGAACAGTAAAACATTGTCAAAACATATTCAAACATTGTCAAAAACATGGTCACAACCATGATGTCTGAACATTCCCCCTGTAGAGGGACACGCCCGACTTACACATAGACTCGACGAGAAAATCCATTTTGAGGTATTCGCAGAAGGCATCTATACACCACCACCGTGCCAAGGCAGGGCCATCCTGGGCCCCAGGATGGTGTATACGCCCGCCTGGCCGAGGCCAAGAGGGTCTACACACCATCCTGGGGCCCAGTATGGCCCTGGCCTGGCACGGTGGTGGTGCATAGATGCCTTCGTCGGAAAGTAAACCACTTCTGCAGCCGATCCCCTGCTCGTCTGGTGGCGTCCCCCTCCGAGCCAGCCGCCTGGGCCAGGCGCCGGGGCCACGGCACCTCCTCCCCGCGCGGGGCCGCGTGCGCCGGCCGGGGCCCCCCGCCCTCCGCGTGGCCGCCCGCGGCCCCGGGGCGCGGGCGGGCGCCCGCGGGAGCCAGGGAGGCGGGCAGGCCCGCCTGCGGAGGGAGGAGGGAGCGCACCACCTCCTCCTCCTCCTCCTCCTCCTCCTCCTCCTCCTCCTCCTCCTCCTCCTCCTCCTCCTCCTCCTCCTCCTCCTCCTCCTCCTCCTCCTCCTAGGCACCACCACCATCGCCACCACCTGGAGGAACGGGGCAGAGGGTAGTTGGGGATGGTGGGTGGTGGATGTTTGGAGGTCTGGGGGTGGGCACCAACACCAACACAGGGGGGAGGCCTCCACTGGGGAAAGATGGTCTCAGATTTTGGTGCTGATGGTATAATATGTCGCCCACCTGGAGGATCGGGGCAGAGGGTAGTCGGGGATGGTGGGTGGTGAATGTTTGGAGGTCTGGGGGTGGGCACCAACACCAGCACAGGGGGGAGGCCTCCACCGGGGGAAGATGGTCCCAGATTTTGGTGCTGATGGTATAATATGTAGGCCACCTAGGAAGTCCGAATATGACCACCATCGCCGAGATCGGGATCGCCATCCCTCGGTGGAAACACACCGCCGACAATGGCTGTTGGCGTCAACCTCTAGGCCTCCGACAGATCTCGGCGGCGAGCGAGGGAGGGACTTCTCAGAAGCCCTCGCGACTTCTGAGAAGTTGTTTCTGCGTCTTCGGGGAAGTCTTGGGCAATTTCTAGGGGGGCGGTGCGACTTCCGAGCCTTTTTGAGGAGGCCCGCTCCCTCTCACTTCCCCCCGGGCGCGTCGCCGGGGTGCATATCGTTTCGGGCGCTTTCGTGGGACATCGTGCACACCCGCATCCCGCACCCCCGAATCCCCCCCATGTGGTGGTGGTGGTGGTGGTGGTGGTGGTGGTGGTGGTGGTGGTGGTGGTGGTGGTGGTGGTGGTGGTGGTGGTGGTGGCGGCGGCGGCGGCGGCGGCGGCGGCGGTGGTGGTGGTGGTGGTGGAGGTGGGTGGGTGGTGGGTGGGTGGGTGGGTGGTGTGGTGGTGGGTGGTGTGGTGGTGGGTGGGTGGGTGGGTGGTGGTGGGTGGTGGGTGGTGGTGGTGGTGGTGGTGGTGGTGGTGGTGGTGGTGGTGGTGGTGGTGGTGGTGGTGGTGGTGGTGGTGGCGGCGGCGGCGGCGGCGGCGGCGGCGGTGGTGGTGGTGGTGGTGGTGGTGGTGGTGCGCTTGCTGCTCCCAGCTGGCAAGGAGCAGACGGGTTCTGAGAGAAACCTGTCTTCACGACGCCCAAGAGGAGGAGAAAGAGGAGGAGGAGGAGGAGGAGGAGGAAGCGGCTGCGTCTGAAGACACCAAAGCCGACGGAACCAGGAACCAGGAGGAGAAGGAGGAGGAGGAGTGAGGAGTCCTGGACCCTGGGGCCTTCCTCTCCCAAGCCCAGACATCCGGCTGCTCCCATTTTGTTCGATGCGTGGGCCCCGGAATTCTGGACCACCTCACCCTGGCTCATTTCCCGCCCCGATTTTTTTTCGCCGGCGACGATAGGGGCGAATATCCCAGGGGCGCGCATGGCACATATTCGCCCAGGAGCCTTGTCGAAGACATAGATCATCGGCACCCCTGGATACACGTATTGCTCCCCCCTGGGCTATTCGCCCCTATCGTCGCCTCCGAGTTTTTTGACGGTCCCGAGGCCAGGCGAGGTCCCCCGGAGGCCGAACAATAGCCGAAAACCAGCTGCTTCGACTTGTTCGGAGCGTCGGATCTCTGGGAGGACCGCCTTCCTTGAGGCTTGGGCGCGGCCCTTTCTCGCGGCACCAGTCGGTCTTGCCCTGCTTCGCGCCCTGGGATTCTCACAGGAGCACGTTTCTTTATTTTCGGCGATCATGAGCACTGTAGGGGCGGGGGGAGACCCTTCAGCACAGTGCCAGGACAGCCCAAGGTGGCCCAAGAGCTCCGAGGCGCTCTAGGGCATCCCCAGAGGGCCCCAGGAGGAGGAGGAGGAGGAGGAGGAGGAGGAGGAGGAGGAGGAGGGGCCAGGGGGGGGTAGAATGTAACGCCTCCCCCGCGCCGTGCGCACGGCGGCAGTGCCCGGAGCGCACTGGGGGGGAGGGGCGCTACGTCATACCGGGGGGGGAGGGGGGGGGCCGGGGGCTATGATGCCCATTATGCCCCAAGCAATAAAGAAACACGCTCCAGGATCGGTCTGGCCCGAAAAATGTGCACCAGAGGGTCCAGGGTCCAGGGCTCTGGTCGTGATTCTTGCCCTCCTATGCCTCAACTTTCGCAGCGTCGGATGTCAAGGTTTTCGTCCTGAGTCGTCCTCGCACAGTCGATGGTCCTCAGAACGTGTGTTGGCGCCAACGTGCCCATCGGGACCGCTCAATACGACGCGGGTGATGTAATGGTCTGATGGTGGCGCTAGACGGGGTAACACACACACACACACACACACACAGTGGGCTAACACACGTCCTGGGGATCATCGAGAGAACAACATGCCCCCCGAGGGAGCCTGGAAGCGGCGACAACCTCCTGGCACGGCCGAACCGGGTACGGAGAAAACGGGTACGATGCCCTGCAGCAAATGTGACCCAGAACCGACAGCGGCCACTGCTGGGCGGGCGGCCTTACTGCTCAAGTCGACACCGCCCGCGGCAGCACCGACAGCGAGCGACTCCTGGTCCAGATGGGCAAGGACTGCTGTCGGTCTTCGTCCCTATCCCTTCAGGGCGCAGTGCGGTCGTACGGAATCGCAGGACAATGCTTGCTCCGTGGCGACCTGCCAGCGCCACATGGACTTCTCCGCCGACATGGCCGCCCGACCGCCGGCACTCCAGGTCTGAGGGCCCGTTTCGTGCCGGGAACTGCCTTGAGCCGTCTTGGAAATTCTTGGGTCTTGGAGCCGCCTTGAGGCGCTCGGGGGTCCTTCCAATGCCACCTTGAGTCCGAAGACCAAGGTACGAAAACGATTCGTACCTCAACCTGTTTGGCATCCCAACGCGTTGCTGAAGGGCTCCTAGGCCCCGAAGCTCTCCGACGGGAACCCAAGCGACCCCCAGCAGCCCCAAGAGGCGCCCGTGACGGCTCCAAGAGTGACTCGCACGAGCCCCTGAGAAACCGCCGGCATAGACCGCTACGCAGCGCAACTCTGCAACGTCGTGCCCGCGAGACGCTGCAACATCGCGGCGAGTCGGCTGCGTAAGAGTGGCCCCATGCAGGAGTGACCTGTGCTGCGCGACTTCCGGGGGCCGCGGGGAGGCCGAGCTGGAGTGCGCGAGCCGCTGCTCTCGCATCGCAGTGGGCCATCTGGGGGCCCCACGGTGTGCCCGCACCAAAGGCAGGAGAGCCTAGAATCGAATCGATGAGTCGGAAATCGGCGATCGACATGAATCGGATCGGCGGAAATCGGCAGCCGAGTCGGAAAAACTCGAATCGGCGGAAATCGGCAGGCTGGTATGCGTCCCAGTCGGAAATCGAAACCCGAATCGGAATCCGAAGTCGAATCGAACCAGAATCGGAACACGTCGATATCGAATCGAATCGGATCGGAGGAATCCTGAGAGCAGGGCTCGGCCTGCACGGTATCTTGGCGATTTCGTGGACCGCGTTCGTTACGACTGCGCTGTGCAGCAAGGGAGGAACGGAGGCAAACGGCGGGACAACGGACGCAGGAACGAAAGCAAGCAACAAGTACCGTTAAGGTCGAGCCCTGGTGCTCGACGAGGGAGGAAGCGCCCAGACTTAGGTCGGGCGTGTCCTCCTGCAGGCGGGTGTTGGACGAAAAAAAACACTCGAGAAATCGTCCCCAGACTAATTTTGCACAATTCCTGAATACCCCTCCTGTATGAGGGGGCCCTGGGACACACAAATAGATACACACAGATAACAGGATTCCCCACATGTTCGTATGTATTTTCTTGGCTCTTGTCTTCTCCCCCCCTTCTCATGTTTCCCCATACTCTCTCGGGAATCGAAGACTACTTGTGTCTGAGTGCTTGCCTTCCGGGTCTTCGCCCCCGATCCCTGTCCGCGGCGTACCTTCTCCTGAGCAAGCTCTTCGGCACCGCCTGCACCCCCGGCTCCGCCTGCTCCGGCCGCCTGAGGCCCCGCCTACCTGTGCCCTGTCTCCCTAATTGAAGCTGTGCGTAGCCCGCCTAGCTTTTAGCGGAAAAGGTTCGCTCTCGCCCCGCAGACCAAAAACTTGCGTCCCGAACCATCAGCGGCCGCTGTTGGGCAGGCGGCCTCCTGCCTCAAATGGACACAGGCCGCGGCGGCGTGGACAGCGAATCCTGTTCAAAATGAAAAGCGAACTGCTGTTGGGCAGTGTCCCCATTCTTTCCGTGCCCATTTCGGGCGTCCAGATGTCTGTGTGTGCTCCTTCCCTCCCGTAGAGGAACGGGCCCGACTGACGCCCCGCCTGAGGCCCAGCCTTCCTGTGCCCTGTCTCCCTGATTAAAGCTGTTCGTAGCCCGCCAAGCTTTTAGCGGAAGAGGCTCGCTCTCGCCCCGCAGACCAAAAACTTGTGTCCCGAACCATCAGCGGCCGCTGTTGGGCAGGCGGCCTCCTGTCTCGAATGGACACAGGCCGCGGCGGCGTGGACAGCGAATCCTGTTCAAAATGAACAGCGAACTGCTGTTGGGCATCGTACCCATTCTTTCCGTACCCATTTCGGGCGTCCAGATCACAGGATTTCCCATATGTTCGTATGCTTTCTTGGCTTTTGTCTTCCCCCCCTTCTCATGTCTTCCCATACTTTCTGGTGGATCGAAGATTACTTGTGTCTGTGTGTGTGTGTTCCTTCCCCCCCCTGCTCCAGTCCATCGCGTACCTTGTCCTGTGCAAGATCTCCGGCACCGCCTGTTCTCTGAGCCCTTCGGCCGCCTGGGGCCTCGCCCGCCCGCGCCCTGCCTCCCCAATCAGGGCTACTCGCGCCCCGTTGAGCTCTTGACCGGAAGGGGCCCGCTCCCGACCCGCAGACCAAAAAAGTTAGATGCTCGTTCTGGGGACCTTCCTGCAGCCACTCGCTCCACTCGTGCGTCGAAGCTGCGCCGAAGCTGCGTCGAAGCTGCGTCGAACCCGAGTCGAACCTGAGTCGAACCTGAGTCGAACCTGAGTCGAACCTGAGTCGAACCTGAGTCGAACCTGAGTCGAACAGATCCATCGGGTGGCCCCCAGGAAGGTCCCCAAAACGAGCATCGAAAACAAAAAAAAAAAGAGTGTGTCCCTTCCCTCCCGTGGAGAGGGGCGGGCCCGACCCAGGCCGGCCGCACGGGGCAGCCCTGGAGCTCCGCGCCGCGGCCGCGAGCCACCGGCGGGGCCCTCCCCGTGCGGCGCCCCCGACGGGGCCCTCTCGGGAGGGCCCGGCGGGTGGCCCTCGGGAGCCCTCGGGGGCCCCTTAGGCCTGCCATCGGCAGGGGGGGGGGCGGCCTCGGAGGCCCTGGCCCAGGAGCCCACGACGCCTATAGAAAAAGAGAGAGGCCACACATATATTTGTGTATCTATACAGAGATATATAGTTAAGAACATGTTTTGTTGTTGTTATATATATATAACAAACCATATGTTTGTTTAACAATTTCTTGGATCCGCGCGGAGCGCGCCAGGGGCGGCGCCGGAGACTCCGCCGGGGGGCCCAGGCGCGGATCCGAGAAATCCGAGCGGAGCGCCAAGAGTTTATCTCTGTGTGGCTGTTTCTTCTTCGAGCAGAGGCTGGGTCTCGGGGGTCCCATCCCAGGAGTCCACAACGCCTTAATCCGACGATGGCAGAACTGGGTTTGGTGGGACCTGGCTTGGTGATGTGTACTGGGGGACGCCCCTCCCCGCCCCGTTCCACGGACCGGACCTGCCGTCACCCGAAAAAAACTGCAGCTGCGGCAGACCTGGTTTCGTGATTCTGGCCGACTTTGGGGGCTCCGGGGCCCCACCACTCACCGGGTCCCCTGGACTGGGGTCGACAGTTAACGGGCGAAGAACGGTATAAAATAAACTTTTTCGCCGTCGGGGACACCTGCCCCTGGGCGGCTGGAAAGTTTATACCCCTACGGTGCCATCGTAGGGGTATAAACTTTCCAGCCGCCCAGGGGCAGGTGTCCCCGACGGCGAAAAAGTTTATTTTATACCGTTCTTCGCTCGCTGAGACAGGAGTCCACAACGCCTTCAGCCCGGCGGCCGCCGGCCCAACCCCGGCGGGGCACCCCGGGGGTCTCGGACCAGCGGCCCGCCGCCCCTCCGGCGCGCAGGCGGCGGGTGCGGGGGCCGAGGACGCCGCCGCCAGGGCTCTGAGCAGGGGATCGACTACAAGATCGATGCACCCCGAACTTGATTTCCTCGTCCAGTCTACTGAATCGAAGCATGTTCGTAGGTGTGGCTTTTCTCGTCGGATCGGCACAAGAACACGCAGACTGTTCGTCGGTACACGAACAGTGTAGGCGTACGTTTGCAGCCTCGGCGAGGAACCAATTTGGGGGGGCAAATCGATGTTGCAGTCGATACGTATACTGCTCGTGGATCTGCGAACCTCACACGGCTTCACTTTGTAGACTCGACGAGACCATACATTTTCTGAGGCGCGTCGACTGTGCAATCGATCCCCTGCTCGGAAGGCGGGGGGGGAGGGGGGCCATGGAAACCCGCCGAGAGGCAGTTTGGACGCCCGAAATGGGTACGGAAAGAATGGGCATAATGCCCAACAGCAAATGTTGTCCCGAACCATCAGCGGCCGCTGTTGGGCAGGCGGCCTCCTGCCTCAAATGGACACAGGCCGCGGCGGCGTGGACAGCGAATCCTGTTCAAAATGAACAGCGAACTGCTGTTGGGCAGTGTCCCCATTCTTTCCGTGCCCATTTCGGGCGTCCAGATGTCTGTGTGTTTCCTTCCATCCCGTAGAGGGACGGGCCCGACTGAAGCCCCGCCTGAGGCCCCGCCTTCCTGTGCCCTGTCTCCCTGATTAAAGCTGTGCGTAGGATTCGCTGTCCACGCCGCCGCGGCCTGTGTCCATTTTAGGCAGGAGGCCGCCTGCCCAACAGCGGCCGCGGATGGTTCGGGACAACACTTGCTGTTGGGCAGTGTCCCCATTCTTTCCGTGCCCATTTCGGGCGTCCAGATGTCTGTGTGTTTCCTTCCCTCCCGCAGAGGGACGGGCCCGACCGCAGCAGGCCGCACAGCGCAGCCTTGGGCGGGTGCGGGGGAGGACGCCCCGGGAGCACGGCGCCTCGCAGCATGGGGCCTGGCGAGCTGTGGGAAACTCAGGGGCCGCAAGAAGCCCCCCCTATATGGCGAACTCGCAACACACACACACACACACACACACACACACACACACACCCATACCCATACCCATAGGGGGGGTCGTTGGGAGGGGGACTGGCTATGGGTATGGGTGCGGTTGTCGGACCCTGGGGAACGCTCCCGTTCGAGCGGGGACCCCCATCCGACAACACGCACCCATAGCCCTCTCCGACCCCTCTATGGGTATCGGTGTGTGTGTTGTTGGTTCGTCACTATGCACGAGCGCGTTCCACTACTCGCAGAGCGACTGCTCGCAGATGGCCTGGTTCCGCCGGGGGGGGATCTACGAGAAGTTACATTGAAGCAGACGCGTGCTTTTCGGACGTCTGCGAGTAGGCACTTTGCGAGTAGTGGAACGCGCCTGGTGACCCTAGGGAATCTGGCGACCTATGGGTTGCTCATGACTCGGAGTTCTGAGAAGCCCATGGATGGACGACTGCCGAAGGCCTGTGAGTCGTGGGAAACCCATCGCTCGCCAGAAACCCCTGAGGAATCTGGCGACCTACGGGTTTCCCATAATTCGGA